CTGCCGCCCACAACTTCGGGTTTTTCCCTAGGGTCACAGTGACCTAAGAGACAGACGTTTTGAATAGATGCAGGAAAATCTGGTGGCTCAGGCAGTGCAGTTAGATACTCACAAAAGACTTCCAGAAGTACTTCAGAAGGTAGCAAGAACTTTTGCAAATAGGAAGATTAAGAGATGGAGGGGCAGAAGGTCATTAAACAATTAAAACACATACCAGCTCCCCACAACAAATGGAATCATTACATACTACAAACACGTGTGCATAAATAATTATGCTAATATGCTAATTTGCATTTCTCCAGTGATAAAGGGGTGTTGAATATTTTTTCATGTGTTTATTGGTCACTTGAATTTCTTCTCAGAAGCATCTTTCCATTTGAACTGCCAATTTTTTTTGGTTGCATCTTTAACAGGATGGGTCTACTTTTTCTGGGTTCTTTGCAGATTTCTGGAGTTAGTCCTCTGCCCATGGTATATTTAGTAACATTTTTTTCTTATCTGGGAAGCTGTCACTTCACTCTGTTAATTGTCTGCTGTACAAAAACTTTGCAATTTGATATCCCATTTGTTGATTATTGACATTATGTCTTGTGCAACTGGGGTTTGATTTAGAAAGTCCTTGCTTATGCCTCTGAACTCAAGAGTTTTCCTACCTTACCTTCTCCATCTAAAGGTTATATTTTAACCTTTACATCTTTGATCTACTTTGATTTCAGCTGAGTGCACGATAAAAGAGGTAGGTGTCATTTCAAACCCCAGCATGTGAATAGTGAGTTTTCCCAGCACCTCTTTCTAAAAAGGTTCTCTTTTCTCTAGTACATATTTTCTGCCCCTTTGTCACATATCAAATGACTGAATGTGTCTGGTGCTGTCTCTATACCCTCTGTCCTATAAAATTGATCCACATGTCTTGTTTGTGCATGTGTCTGTGTGTTTGTGAACCAGCACCATGCTGTTTGTATCACTGTAGCTTTGTGATATTACTTGAAGCAAGGTATTGTGATGCTTCCTACTTTGCTCCTGTTACCCAGGATGGCTCTTATTATTCTGGGTCTCTTCTTGTTCCATATGAATTTTAGGATAGTTTTCTTTTGTTTGTGAGAAATGTTTGTATTTTGATTGAGATTGCATGAAACCTATGCAACAGTTTTAGAAGAATGACCATTTTGACAATGTTGGTTCTGTCTATTCAGAAATAGGAAACATTTGTTAATTTTTTAATGTCGTTTATGATTTCCTTTCTTACAGGATTGTATTTTCATTATAGAAATCATCCACTTCTTTGGTTAGGTTACTTCCTGTGTATTTAAGTTTTTGGTTATTGTGAGCTTTATTGCTTTCTAATTGACTGCAGGTTTGGTTCATAATTGGTGTTCAGGAATGCTACTGAGTTTTGTGTGTTTTTTGGTGCTATTGATTTTGCATTACACTACATTGGTGAATTTGATTATTAATTCTAGGTGTCTTTTGATGGAATTTTTGAGGGGTTCTATGTAAAGTATCTTACATAGAAAAGAGACAACTTGAGAAGCCAACAAAAAAGTACAATGACAGGAATAAGCCAATAGTTTTCAGTAATCACTCTCAAGGTAAATGTTGTTAGCATATGAATTAAAAGACACCGATTGGCAGAATGGAGAGGGGAAAATAACAGAATCCAGCAGTCTATTGCATTCAAAACCTCACCTAATCCAAATAGAAATTCATAATCTAAAACCAAAGGGTAGAAAACAATACTCATACACCAGAAGCCCAAAACAAACAAGAATAAACATATCATTCTCAAACAAAGTAAACTCCACAGTAAAACTGATCAGAAGTATCAGAGTATGTTACTATGTAATAGTTAAGAAAACAATTCTAAAGGAAACAATAACATTTGGAAATGCATATACACTGAATACTGGGGCACCTAACTTCATAAAACAAATACTTCTGGACATAAAATCCAAATGCACACTAACACAATCATATTGAGGGACCTCAATGCCCCACTCACAGAAAGGCAGATTAACTAAACAGAAAACTAACAAAGAAATACGAGAGCAGAACTGTGTCTTCAAACAAATGGACTTACTAGATATCTACAGGGTGATATATCACACTACCACAGAATATACATTCTTCTCAGCAGCACATGAAACTTTCTCCAAAATATAGAACATGCTAATAGATAAAACCTGCTCAGATAAATACAAGAATGCATCCCGTGTATCCTTTTAGATCAAAGCACATTAAATCTTACAAATCAATTGCAAAAATAACAGAAATTTCATTAACAAGTGGATATTAATAACTTAGTCATGAACTCAGTGGGCCATAGAAGAAATCAAGGTAGAAATTAAACAACTTCTAGAATAAAACAATAATGCCAAAATAACATTCCAGAGCCTAAGAGAACAGTTCATTGCTGTAATGCTTGCGTTAGATAAAGAGAAAGATTGAATAAGCAAATTAATAATGTATCTCAATAAACTGGAACAGCAAGAAAATTTCAAACCCAAATGTCATACAAGAAGGAAATGCATAAATATCAAAGTAGAAATTGATGAAACTGAAATTTAAAAAATACACAAAAAGCAAATGATTTGAACAACTGGTTTTCAAAAGAATAAATAAAATAACGAAACTGTTATCCAAACTGACCAAACAAAAAGGAAGACCCACATCAACGCAATGAGAAATGAAAAAGTCAAAATCACAGCATCCATTGAAATATAAAAGCTCACTAGCAACCACTGTGAAAAATTGAATTCTAACAAATTAGAAGAAATGGACACATATGAATTAGAAAAACTGAACAAAGAAGACACAAAAATGGTGAAAAATCAAATAGCTAGAAATGAAATTAAAGCAATAATAAAAAAATACCAACTAAGAAAAACCCGGAACCTGATGGATTTAACTACCGAACTTTATAAGATCATCATCAGGGAGGATATAACACCAATGCTCATCAAACACTTTAATAAGGTAGAAGAGGAGTACAATATCTTCAAATCCATCACTAGAAGCTAGTACTACCCTGATTCCAAGACTAAACAAGGACCCAAATAAAAATGAAAACTACAAGGCAATCTCTTTAATGAACACACATGTAAAAATCCTCTGCAAGATACTCGCAAACAAAAATGCAACAAATCATTAGACCATATGGCATGACCAAGTAGGCTTCATTTCAGGAATGCAGGGATGGTTCAATATATGTAAATCAATAAATGTAATGCATCACATAAATAGAAGCAAGGACAAAAATTACATGATCATTACACAAAATGCCGAAAAATCCTTCAACAAAGTCTAACATCTATTCATGATAAAAAAAAAAAAACTTGCAAAACATAGGTATAGGAGGCCCTAAGCTCACTCTGATATACGCCATCTATGGCAAAGCCACTGCCAGCACAGTAACAGCGGAGAAAACTGAAAGCTTTTCCTTTTAAATCAGAACCAATACAAGAATGTCCACTATAATCACTCCTACTCAATATAGTACTCAAAATATTGACCAGAACAACCAGGCAAGAGAAAAAAACTTAAAATGGTACATATGGGAAACAAAGAAGTCAAATTATCACTCCTTACAGATAAATGATACTCCTTGATTTAACACAGTATAAATATTTTTTCTGGCATATAGAATTCCATCAAAAGCAATCTCCAAATACAGCTTGTATCTGAATCCTGAATATACTGAAAAGCTTTAACAGTAAATCTTTCTGTATAATATAAGTGTGAATTTATAATATGAATACATCTAGACTCTACAATGCATAACATCTTGCCATAGCAAATAAGAAATAAAAGGTCTCAGTGAGAAAAAATGAACATGAAAAAGTTAAAATATTTAACATTAGAATTAATTTTGTTTGATAAGTTGAAAGTTTATCCATAGAAATAAGTAATTTGGGCAAAGCAAAAGTATTAAATTCGTCAGAAGCCAAAGTGCCCTTTTATATGTATTTTTTGAACTATGGAAATACATGTAGTGCATATCCTGCAAGCCACCCCCTAAAGATAGCTCCTGGAAATAAAGGAAGGTTTAAAAAGGAAGAAGGAAAAAAAGAAAGACAGGAAAAAGAAGGGAGGGAAAAGGGAAGAGGAAGCAAAAGAGTTTTGACTCCAACTAGAAAATGCTGTGTTTATCCTTTTACTGGAAATTCACTTATAAGTAGGACAATAATTCCTAAGAATTCTTTCACTGGAGAAACCTAATTAACTTTATGAAAATGTGTGTATGTATATGTATATTAGATTTTGATATAAAAAGTATCAATTACGATTAATGATAAAATTTTCTAACTTTCTCCTTTTTTAGGCAATGATACAAAATTTTCAGGTGATGTCTTTATATTTGTTCAAAAAAATAACATTTAATTAATGTATAGTAATTTAGATATCCACCGTTTATGCAATGAATTGAATTTCTAAATATGCTGTTTGAATATATAATTTTCACTTTTTTCAGTAATAAAAATTAACTGATAATTTTTACTCAGCTTTCCATTATTATCCTGCAACTTGGCACTTTGGCAATTAACTTTGAATTTTGCAACTTCAGTGTTGCACGTTTAAATCATAACAAGCATCTACAAATGTTTAACTTTGCTCAAAGTGAGTTACAATACTTTTAAAATTAAACAGTAGATCTAATGTTACTAATATCTATCATTTCTTACTCATTTATCACTGACAGTATCAGCCCTCTGTTATTTGGCACTTACTTAGAATAAGGCACATATTATTCTAAGTAATTTTCATGTATTGCTTAATACTCAACAATGTTTTTCTGTGTCTATGGCCATTAAAATCCCATTTCACAGTTTGAAGAAAGTGAGGCACAGATCACTGCTTGAAAGGGATGCAGCTGAAATTCAGACCTAAACATTTGCCATCAAGCATCATGTGAATGCCAAAATCTTTGAATAGGAATCAATTAACATCATCATTTTAAAGATTTTATTGTAATTAAACAAAACTAAGCCTTAAAACTGTGATAAATGAGATTTGGACTTCTCTAGCTTTTGTGTCTTTGATCTTATCACTCAAACAGATCCGGTTAAACTGAGTAACATATTCTCAGGCTCTATGGAGACTTCCTGTGGGTCTATGGATTTATCAGTAGGTCTTACTTCGGTCAGGTGAGCAGCGTTCTGACAACAGGAGCGCCTACCTGCTGCACCCAGGTGCTCTCACCTGCGCAGCCAGCCTGGGGCCCCGGTCAGGGTGATGGGCTCCGCAAAGGGTGGGGAACTGAAGACCAGGACTAAAGGCCCCCAAGGCAGCACCGCTAGAAGGAGAGGCCAAGCCAAAATCAGCACAAATTGCAGTCCTTTAAAAGTGAAAGAAACAGATGAAAAATTAGGCATAGAATTTACAATTAGAAAACGTTTTAAAAAATACCTTGAAAGTATTATATTAGCTATAGCAAGATATAAAGAAGATTTGTGTTTTACTAAAGAGAAATACAAATATTTTTTAATGAGAGAAGGTTCAACTTCAGTGAAAATTAAAAATTCAGATTATAGCTACTATACTAAGATACTATTTTCATTGATCAGATTGGCAAAATAATCCAAAAGTTGGAGATTTTCTTATATTGTTTGGACATATCTGGTGCATGAAAATGGAAAAATAATTTCATGGAGATAATTGCAAAGCATTTATTAAACTAATAATCACATTTGTCCTTTATGTGATATCTGTCCATTATCTGATTTCTAAAAATGTATTGACAAATATACCTGCACACTCAAAATATGTATATCAGATATATGATACATTTGTTAACACTTCCCAATTGGTGGCTAATCATTGGAAATGATTTCAATAACCTTACTATACACTGGCCCTTAGTTTTAGAAGAAAAGTAAACCATTCTTAAAGCACTGAAATGAAAAGATCACTAGGAAGTATAATGCATATGTTTCTGGTTTTTGTTTTTTGAGACAGGGACTCTGTTAGTCCAGGCTGGCCTTGAACTTAAAGTAGTCTTCTTGCTTCAGCCTGCCAAGTGCTGAGGTTACAGGTGTGCATTATCATGACAGGCAGAAATATTTTAAAAATATTTCAAATTGAAAGAAATACTAAGAAACTAATATGTTCAAAAGGAAGTGGCAGTATTTTACCTAGTACAGCTAATAATTTTTGCAAAACCCACATTTTCTCCAGATATGAGAACAGATGATATATTAATTGAACTAGATTTGCATGTATATTTTATTCTAGGGACCATGAATGTATAACATGTCAAGGCTTTGATAATTATTAACTGATTATAGATGCTTTAAGTATTTGACCATACAAATTTAGAAGCTACATTCTAAATTTTTAATAAATCACTTGTTTTTAGTCTTTCCTGTTTCTGATGTGACATAAATTGTTCTGGCAGATGACAATTTCTTCTTACATGATCTTGACCCTAAGACCCTCCTCATATAAATTATCAAAATAGTCTGCAACTTTTAATGGTTTGAACACAAATGTGTTTCATCCGGATTGGAAATGGAATGTTGAGTAATGTTTTTACTTTAAGGATTTAGTAGCACCAAAGAAAACCATTTGACATCCTATATCACTATTGTTATTTTTCTTTTTATCTTAGTACTCTCTTGGATATATGCATCTTTCAAAATTATCTCTGCTCTTCTGAGAGTCTCATGAATTCTGGAAATAAAATAGTAGGTGCCATTTCAAATTCAGACAAAAGAATTCCAAATGCAAAACAAGCGATCAGCTTAAATATTTATCTTAATTTAAACATAATATTCTTTTTGTTTATTTTGAAAAAGCAAAACAGAAAAAAGAATAGAAATTATACAACTTCAAAAATAGCAGAAAATTAACACTAATTAATATGTTGCATATTGTTATCTTACAAGCAATTGTTCGGTTTACAAGACTTAGGTACAAAAAAATGATCAAGCAAACAATGAGAGCACAAACTGTTCATTTGGATGAATTAACAGAGATTAGTAGTATCTCCATCTATCTTGTCTATACATACATACATACATACATACATACATACATACATATGTGTACCTATTCACATACCATCTTTCCCCTTCTCTCCTTTCCCTATTCGAGCTGTCCTTTCTTTTTAAGCACTTTCTTTCCCTTTTGTTATCACACTATCTATTGTACATTTTGAATCTTATTATCCTTTCGGGTTTTTTCATAGCAGCACAATTTGTAACAGTTAAATCTTGGAAGCAACCCAAATACCCATCGACCACAGAATGGGTAAAAAAGATGTAGTATTTTAATACAATGGACTATTTCACAGCTGAAGGATAATCTTGAGGCTTTTATAGGTAAATGGAGGCAACTTAAGACCATACTCATAACTGAAATAAATCAAAGTTACATTTGTAAATATCATATTGTCTCCCTAGTGTAAAAAAAACCACAATATTCTTGAGGCAAACCAACAATGATATCAATTCAGCATATCAATTCATGATATGCTGTTATATTTGCAGTAGATGGTGAATATATCCTGTGAATTGTATCTGACTTTTATCATTCTGCCTTACTGTATTTTATCTTGAAAACTATAGTTAACATATATATCTGATTTAGAATCTCATTTTGGTAATGATAATAGTCTTTTTTGTTTCAAGAGGCTTTGTTGATGTCATTGTAATCAGAAGACGACACTACAGATTGGATTCCAGAATCCTGACCCCATCCTGCTGTCTTCTCTGATTAGATACCTCTACCCCATCTGTTAAAATGTTACATTAAGGGGCTGGGGATTTAGCTCAGCGGCATAAGCATCTGCCTTGCAAGTGTGCAGTCGTGAGTTTGATCCCTGGTTCTGATAAAAAAGAAAAAGACCAAAATGTTACGGTAAAACATGCACATACATTTCACTTATGAGGAATGTCAAATCACAATTAGTAATTCCCAGAAGGCAATCGAGAAACAGAATTTTTTTCTAGATAAGTTCCTAATGTTTTTCCATGTGAGAAACAATGCAAGAATTCCTCTCCAGATGTGGATGCAGCAAAAGGCATGAAGACCAGAAACAAGGCCTGGGAAAACACAAGCAGTAATGTACATACTCATTATGTCTTATATTCCTCCGTTTACTGTAAGTCATTTTTGTCAGACAAGAATCATAGCAGCTACCAGAAATGCTATGATAAAGATGAAGTTCCCCAGATTTTTTTGCTCTGTGTCATGTACCTGATGAGAGAATACAAAGTTTAATGGCTCAAATCTAGTGGAATTTGTACCAAAATTACTTTCTTCAAGCTCATTAGAACTATATGACTATAAATTTTTGTGCTTAGGTGGACAAATCTTATTTAAAGTAGTGCACGGTTCTGGGTAGTCAAAGATGTTAGTTATTGTAGTGTTAATATCTTAGAATTGGAGTGTCAGTTTCAGTAGGCAAAGCAAGGAAGAGACCAGTCAGGAGAAGCTAGATCTAAGAAACAGGCAAGGAGCTGCAGCTGCTGTTGGAAATCTTGCTCTTGATAACAACTCAGTGACTTGCAAGGAGTGTGAGGAGGAATTAGAGATGCAGCAATAAGTGACAGGTGGAGGTAGTCGCTAAGATTTAACATGGAGATAAAGATGGTACCTGGACACCAGAAGGAGAAAATTTACAGGAATTAGTTTTCATTTGGCCCATTCAATAAGCATTTTGTAAGCAGCCGCTATATCACAAGAAATAGAACACATGGACTCTCCTTGGTTTTTGAAGGCTGAAAGTGTGGCAAGAAAACTAGACCAGTAAAAACCACAATGATGGTCCTCTGTGGACTTCTCAGGAACACAGCCAAGAGGAAGTTAAAATTAGAGAGCTATGGCCATATATGTGGCCACTCTTGCTGGCAAGGGCTTCAGGAAGAGTATGTCAGCCCCTGAGAGGAGATGAAAGGACAAGAAACTTTCCCAAAAGAACTATTTGATCAATCAGCTTCAAGGTCCAAGGGACCCATTAAACATGGAAGTACAAGATAGGATCTCAACAAATGGAGTTAAAATGGGCGGTAGTCATGGGAATGAGGTAGAAACCAATTACTAAACCAAAAGCTTGGGGTGCCCAGAAATATATTCAGCTTTCTAATATTCTTCTCACATGCTGAAGTGGAGTCCTATAAAATAAAACCCTCATTTGTTGGAGGCAATTACTTTTACAATATTTTTCTGTAGAGGAAGAAAATCTGTGTCTGGGAACACCTTAAACAAAATGTTGACCCACCCAAGGGAAACGTCTAGAACAGCTCCGAGCACAGGGTAGGCTCATGTGTTTGGTTTTACCTCATTTTATCTAGATACTCCATGTATCAACTTGGCTTTCATTAGCTTTTCCTTGAAATCACAGTATGCACATTTGTTGTAATGTTTTTGCTGAGTATGAAAATGTACTTTAGCATTAATGCAAGTTATGATTCTCATTTAATAGAATCTGCAAAAAAAAAACCCACAAAATACCTTAAATCCCGTGTGATTCATTCAAATAGGCCAAATATCACACCTCTCCAAAAATATTTTTCTCACTATTTTTTTCTTAACCTGTTAAACATCTTGGCCTTCTATAAAGAATTTTTGTTTGGTCTTTATTTAGCTTTTTGTCTTCTGTAATTTCTCCCCTCACTTCTCCCCCATCTTCATCTCCTCCATCTTTTCTCCATCATCTCTATGTTTCATTCTTCCTTCCAGATTTGAAGATTGCAGAGCTTGGATTCTGACCACCTGGGATCACATCCTAAATGCACCCTTCGGTGAATGTGAGACCTTGAGCAAGTTACTCAAACTGTCTGTATATCAGTTCCTCCTTGGATAAGTTAATGATAATATTAAATAATAGTGACTAATTCAATAGTTTGTTTTGAAGATTTAATGAGTTATTTCAACATTGAAAACAAAGTTGAATTTATACCAACTTTACAACAGACGTCTAATATTGTTATTTCACAATCATCTGTTTGACAATTTTTTACCAAGGTACTATAGCGTTCCTATCTGAAGTACCCTGGGTGTTCTTGGCCCATTTACCATATGTCCTCCAAGACAAAGTCTCACACAGACAGACACAATCAGGAAATCACGTCCCTGCTCCTCCCCACCACACCCTATCCTGCCTAACTGGCTCATGAAGCGTGAATGTATCCTTTACACCTGCCTTCAACCATAAACTTCAAGGAAACAGCTATAACTCATGGCCATGTATCCATTTGTGGCTCCTGTGTCTTTATATCACCTGTGTTAAAATATCACAATATTTCAGCTGTTAATTGAAACACTCTGGCGTCTTGAGTTATTTTTACAGTCAATTTGAGATGACATGTGATAGTTCAGATTCATGGAAGCCAT